AATGGGGCTGGAAACTCAATGGTACCATCAAGTTTCCAGTCCCATTACCAGAGCGTTGCCTGACTACATGCCTACGTCACGTCTGGGCGATGGAATAGTGCATCGCCTGTGTTACAAGCAAGAATCTTGTCCCCTGCCGGTTCATAAGTAGGTACTTGGCAACCCTACACTGTGTTCAGTGGGTCTTAATCCCATGAAAATATACATTCCATTGCTTTGTAAGAGCATGATAAGTGAACTGTCCAGCTGATCCAAATTTAGTGAAGGCTCTGCAGCTGCTTTCCAACAGTTAATGGACACTGCCCCCATGTGGTTATTTACATGAATGCCATAATGATAGATGAAGTTCCACACAGACAGGGTGATTCATCTTAAGCAGGTTCTCAATTGACAACACTAGAAGAACTCCTAAAGAAGACACTGTCAATATGTGCAAAACAATATAATTTGCCAGAGACCTAAAAATCTAGGTGGCACAGGAAAGACTGTCCATTTCAGTTCATTGTACTTGTTTTGGCCACAGATCATAACAAATGATTTAAGATGAAAATTAAATGAATTCAGTTTTGAGTCATGAAGCTTGTTAGATGACCCTGGGACAGCCATTCTTTCCTGGACTTGCCCATTTTACAAGGTTAATGCAAGACAAATTACAGAAAGGGTGGGGAACAAGGGAATGAATGAATGGAATTAAACAGTGGACGGATTTATTTATTTATTTATTTATTATTTACAGTCAAATTTATACCCCGCCCTCCCCACAAAGCAGGCTCATATGTTTTACTTGTAAACCAGTACAAGACAGCTATTCAATTTGCTTGGTCAGTGAAAGAACTCTTGATGGCAAAACTTGCTGCTTTGAAGTTTCTCCCTCAAGCCCATAACATTTAGTATAACTTACCCTATGGCCTGACATATTCCCCCATGGGATACAGGGGAACAGCCACTACTGATGCTGCAGAGAGAAAGTGGAAACTGGACACAAGCAGGCAAACATTTTTCAGCATCTTTATAACCTTAAGCTCCCCGTGGTCCTCTCCCCTGCAGTACTGTAAGATGTGTGGAGGCTTACAGGGCTTTGAGGAGGCTTTGCTATCCCTGCCTTGATTTGGGCCACTGCGTATTTCCTCTCTGCTGCAAGTCTTCTCTGATATGAAGAGATGTGACAGTTTTTTTATTCAGTCGCACAGTCGAGTCCAACTCTTCGTGACCCCATGGACCACATCACACCAGGCCCTCCTGTCTGTGACAGTTTAATGAAGTACAATTAGTTTAAGGGTTGCCAACTGATCAGAAACTCTCGTGCCTTTATCAGTGGCTTGATTTGCAAAAATCAGCAAGCCAAGCTTTTCACTGCATGGAGCCAAAACATATCCTCTGCTAACACCTGCCAGTCAAGCTGCTGTTACAGTGGCATACATTATTCATATCTAAAGTGAGAGGACCTTCCCCCAAAATTAATTTTCTACATTAATAATCTGTCTTTCTCTCCAGTGGGTACCCACAGCAGTTTCCCTTGTTCTCCTCCATTATATCCCCAAACCAACCCTGTGAAATAGGTTAGGCTAAGTATGGGTGGTGAGCCCCTCGGGTTGGAAGGTGTCCAATATACTCCTGGGGAAGAGCAGAGGGCAAGTACAAGTAACCTCAGAAAGAGTGAAGCAGCTGGGCCAAAGTCGAAAGGATGCTCAGCTGTGAATGATGGTGAAAGGAAAGTCTGATGCTGCAAAGAACAATACTGCATAGGAACCTGGAATGTAAGATCTATGAATCAAGGTAAGCTGGATGTGATCAAAAATGAGATGGCAAGACTGAACATCGACATCTTAAGAATCAGCGAACTAAAGTGGACGGGAATGGTCGAATTTAACTCAGAAGACCATTATATCTACTACTGTGGCCAAAAATCCCATAGAAAAAATGGTGTCGCCTTTATAGTCAACAAGAGAGTGAGAAAGGCAGTAATGGGATACAATCTCAAAAATGACAGAATGATCTTGGTTCAAATCCAAGGCAAACCATTCAACATCACAGTAATCCAAGTCTATGCCCCAACTACTGATATAGAAGAGGCTGAAGTGGACCAGTTCTATGAAGACCTACAACACCTCCTAGAACTAACACCAAAAAAAATGTCCTCCTCATCATAGGGGACTGGAATGCTAAAGTAGGAAGACAAAAGGTACCTGGAATAACGGACAAGTTTGGCCTTGGAGAACAAAATTAAGTCGGGCATAGGCTAACAGAGTTTTGTCAAGAGAACACACTGGTCATAGCAAACACCCTCTTCCAACAACCTAAAAGGTGACTCTACACATGGACATCACCAGATGGGAAACACTGAAATCAGATTGATTATATCATTTGCAGTCAAAGATGGAGAAGCTCTATCCAGTCAGTAAAAACAAGACCTGGTGCTGACAGTGGCTCAGATCATGACTACATTGCAAAATTCAGGCTTAAAGTGAAGAAAGTTGGGAAAACCACTAGGCCATTCAGGTTTGACCTAGATCACATCCCTGATGAATATACAGTGGAGGTGAAGAATAGGTTTAAGGGACTAGATTTGATAGACAGAGTGCCTGAAGAACTATGGATGGAGGTTCGTGACACTGTACAGGAGGCAGCAATCAGCACCATCCCAAAGAAAAAGAAATGCAAGAAAGCCAAGTGGCTGTCTGTTGAGGCTTTACAAATTGCAGAGGAAAGAAGGAAAATGAAAGGCAAATGTGAAAAGGAAAGATTTACCCAATTGAATGCAGATTTCCAGAGAACAGCATGGAGAGATAAGGAGGCTTTCCTGAATGAACAATGCAAAGTAATAGAGGAAAACAATAGAAGGGGAAGGACTAGAGATCTCTTCAAGAAAATTGGAGAAATCAAGCGGACGTTCCATGCAAAGCTGGCCATGATAAAGCACAAAAATGGTAGGGACCTAACAGAAGCAGAAGAGATTAGGAAGAGATGGCAAGAATACAAAGAAGATCCTGGAATGTGAAGTTAAATGGGCCTTAGAAAGCATTGCTAACAACAAAGCTAGTGGAGGTGATGGTATTCCAGCTGAGCTATTCAAAGTCTTAAAAGATGATGCTGTTAAAGTGCTGCACTCAATTTGCCAGCAAATTTGGAAAATGCAACAGTGGCCACAGGATTGGAAAAGGTCAGTATACATTCCAATCCCAAAGAAGGGCAATGCAAAGGAATGTTCAAACTATCGCACAATTGCACTCATATCACACGCTAGCAAGGTCATGCTCAAGATCCTACAAGCTAGGCTTCAACAGTACGTGGATAGAGAACTACCAGAAGTACAAGCGGGGTTTCGAAGAGGTAGAGGAACTAGAGATCAAAGTGCCAACATTCGCTGGATTATGGAGAAAGCAAGGGAGTCACAGAAAAAATCTCCTTCTGCTTCTTTAACTATGTTAAAGCCTTTGATTGTGTGGATCACAACAAACTGTGGCAAGTCCTTAAAGAGATGGGAGTACCAGACCACCTCACATGTCTCCTGAGAAACTTGTATAAGGGTTAAGAAGCAACAATTAGAACCAGATATGGAACCACTGATTGGTTTAGAATAGGAAATTTAGAATAGGAAAAGGAGTACGACAATGTTGTGAAATACGAGTGATATATTTTGCTGACACACCACATGGACTGTGCATACACACATATCCATAGGCTCAGAGAAAGCTGTTCAAATCACCTGTTGAGACTGATACACATAGAAGGTGCCTGCCTGCATTTCATGTTAATGAAGTTTGCAAATACACAGCTCCTAGCCAGAGGGGAAGAAGAAGCACACATCACCATTACTGTCAGCACAAACAACAGCTTGAAGGATAAGCAACTCCCATTGATGAACTGTTGAAAGACACGTATACACATCTCTGTTCTACATCTGAATTGCCATTTCCTGGCAGATATACTTTGATAACCTGGGAAC